CTGTGTTCAAAACTTAAACATGGTTTTTCTTCCTTCCCTACAAATTGAATTTTTTTCTGTTGGGTTTTTTTAATTTTTTCCTTCAATTTTTAAAAATGGCTTTATTGAGATATAATTCACATACTGTCTACAGTCTGTGAATTATATCTCAATAAGGCTGTTTTTTAAAAATTGAAGGAGAAACTCAAAAACCCAATAGAAAAAAAAAATTAGATATAATTCACATACCATATATAGTTTAGCATAGCAACAATTGTGAGGCTGGTGCAGGACCAGGCAGTGTTTCGTTCAGTTGTACATAGGGTCACTATGAATTGGAACCAACTCAATGGCACCTAACCACATACAGTTTGCCCATTAAAATGTACAACTCAGTGGTTTTTAGTATATTCATAGAGTTGTGCAACCATCACCACAATCTAGTTTTAGAACTTTTTCATCACTCCAGAAAGAAACCTTGCATCCATTAGCAGACACTCACTCTCTCCATCCCTCCCCAACTCTCCCAGCCCTAGGCAACTGTTTAATCTACTTGTCTCTATAGATTTGCCTATAGTGGACATTTCATATAAGTATAGTTTATATTATAGATTAGAGTTATATATTTCATAAGTGGAGTCGTACAATAAATGGTCTTTGGTGACTGGCTTCTTTTACTTAGCATAAGCAATATAATGCTTACAGTGTTTATACATTCACCAGTTGATGAACATTTGGGTTGTTTCAACTTTTTGGCTATTATGAATAATGCTGCTATGAACATTTGTGTACAGGTCTTTGTGTGAACATATGTTTTCAGTTATCTTGTGCACATACCTAGGAGTGGAATTGTTGGGTGGTATGATAACTCCATGTTTAACTTTTTGAGGAACCGCCAAACTGTTTTCCAAAGTCACGACACCATCTTAAACAGTTCCACCAGCAATGTATGAGAGTTCCAGTTTTTTCACATCCTCGTCAACACTTTTAATTGTCTTTTTTTATTTTAGCCATTCTGTTGGTTAAGATATAGTATGTCACTGTGGTTTTGATTTGCATTTCGTTAATGACTAATGGGAGCCCTGGTGGTGCAGCGGTTAAGAGCTCAGACTACTAACCAAAAGGTTGGCAGTTCTAATCTACCAGCTGCTCCTTGGAAACCCTATGGGGCAGCTCTACACTGTCCTATAGAGTCACTATGAGTCGGAATTGACTCGATGGCAACGAGGTTTTTTTGTTTGTTTGTTTTTAATGACTAATGATGTCGAGCATAAGATGCCAACTTTTAGGTCAGCTTTCTGTTCCCTCAGCTGTTGTGTTTCCTCCAGAAGGTCTCTCCGGGGTTCCTCTTCATCTCTTGCCTGGACTTAGTGATCCTTTTGACCTCTGGGAGGCTGATGCCTTCTTGATCAGGTGCTTTGGAGGAGACCTTTGAGCAGGTTCCAAGGGTTGGACAGCTGTGTGTCTAGGATTCAAGACACATGTTTTTCCTGTTGGCAGGTGTGATGTTACTGGTGAGGCTGGCTCAGCCATCGCGTAGGCTCGCCAGACCACTGGGACAAAGCTAGCTTCTCCCCTGGACACCTCAGTGAGCAGGATCAGGGATTCTTGAGCTGGAAACAATCTTGAGAAGCTATCTCATCCATCCCTCTGCAACAATACCGAACCACAGTTAGAAACCCCTACCCTGACTATGCTAGATGGGGTAGAATCACTCATTTATTTCTTTAAAAATCTCTGTAGGAAGAAATCTCACTGATCCCCTTTACCACTGCCCAGTAGTTTAGCAGCCTCTGTGTTAGAAAAATTCTTTGCTCTGATCCAGATTTTACCTTCTGCAGCACATGCTGCTTTCCTCTCATGCTCTCCTTCCCTGGAAAATGTGAGAGACAGCCGCTCCCTAGGAGGGGCTTCTCCTCTGGTCAGACAGACTACCTTGGCTGGAGAAGACCTCACGTGAGGAAGTCCAGACCAAGCGAGGCCCCTCCAGGAGCCTTTAAAGACTGAATGACCTTGTCATTTGGCTATTGCCTGGGCAGGCTGCTTTGAAAAAGAGACCTTCTGACAGGCTCCAGGTTGTGTTTTTATAACCGAGGCTGGGCCATTCCAAATCCTACTTCAGACTTGCATCCAGCCAGCCTGGTGGGTGGTAATCAAACGCAGCCAGGGACCATCTGATCTGGCCTGATCTTCCTACCCAGCCAAGTGAGGGCTGGCCTGCCCACCACAGAGCTGCCCCTGAAAGCACTGGGTGGAGGCAAATGGTGGACACGTGTGTGGTTGTGCGCACGCACACTCGCCCATGCGTGTGAACACAGCCCTGCTTTGAGAGGTGGTGCTGCTTGGATGCTTGTGTTTCTCTCTCTGTGTCTGAGGCTTCTCCCCATTGTGCAGTTCAAGGAGAACGTGTTTCTTTTAGCCTGTTTCTCAAGTTTTTGCGGTTAGAAATCATGTATTTTTCTTGGCCCAAGATGAAACCCTGGAGTAATGGTCTAATACGTTTTACGGAGCTGTCTCTAATTGGTGGCTGCTTGAAATCTTCCCTTTGCCCTAGTGACCAATCTCCTTTTGCATGAATTTTACCTCAGTCAATCTTGCGTTACCCCCCAGGTTTTCACACCCCTCCCAGGCCTGCAGCCCCACAGAGACAGCTCTTCTTCCAGCCTCATCTATATCCACTCAGCTTCCCTGCACAGGGCACTTTGGCAAGGAAATAAAATCGCTTACATTGCCTCTTGCCAGGCATCCTCTTCAAGCCTGGTCTTCAGAATTGCAGGTGTATACATTCAAAATGGATTCTGCTTCCCACATTGCCTAGACACCTGAAGAAAATGCAAACAAACCATGGAGACCGCCTTTAAATGTAATTGAGTATGACCATGATAATTTCGAAAGGATATCTTTGGAGTCCTTTAGGGAACTTAGCTTGGCCCTTTAAGGAACTGCACGGGCTTATCAGAGGTGTCTCCCCTCTGCAGCAAGTGCAGGAGGGCTGGGCTTGCCCATTTAACAGATGGGAATGCTAAGGCCCATAAAGCCAGGACTAGGGCTGGCCACAGAGCTTCTGAGACTTTGGAATCTCTTTCCACCCAGTCTCTTGGCCTGGCCTCTTGGGATGATGATGATGAAGGAAAGATGCCACGTGGAGTCCGCATCAGCATCCCTTCAAAATTCTGCCCTCTGACCGCCTGTTCCAGTGGCTTGGCTAGCTAGCAAGGAGGTGTTGGCTGTCATGTTATTTTATGGTTTGTATTTGTATGCTGAGGAGTTTACATGTGTATAATCATTGTGACTCATGTTTGTACAAGATATAATTGCTGAAAATTATATCATGAACATTTTTTAACCCTTCCCATGCTGGCAAGCCTTGTATAGTTCTCAGGAACTCCTCCCTGGAAGCTTGCCTCACCTGAGGAGATATGGCACCTCACCAACCAGGCCCTTGCTCTGTAATCTACATCATTGCCATCTCTGGCAGAAGTCCACTTCAAGAACTTGCCTGCAGCCTCAGGGCTCCTGAGTGTTTCCTAGCAGACAGGGAGGCTGGCATTCCTACCTTGCCTTGTCGTCACTGTGTTGAGTTGTGGCTACAGAGGCAGTAATCCCGGTCATTGTGGGCCACCTGGGAATGGGAAGGGAGGGTAAAAGCGCTTCCCCAGTCTCCAGTGATTGAAGCATGCACATGGAGTGCTGGGCTTCAGGAAGAGCATTTTCATGGATGAATATGTGTGGGGGCTGGGTTCAGGAAGATATGGGCCAACCCATTACCTTTGGAATCTACATTGGGACCTGCCCACAGACACTGTGGTTGGAGGCTAGCAGCCAGCCAGCTAGCCCAGCCCGAGGCTTTGCAACCTTCTGGGGCAGGGTCCAGGGCTGTGAAGTGACATGAATCCTTAGCAAATTAAGTAGATGCTTATTAACAGCTTGAAGTCCTTTAGGGAACTTAGCTTGGTCCTTCAAGGAACTGCATGGGCTATCAGAGGAGTCTCCTGTCTACAGCAAGTGCAGGAGTGCTGGACTTGCCCATTTAACAGATGGGAATGCTAAAGCTCATAAGGCCAGGACTAGGGCTGGCCACAGAGCTTCTGAGACTTTTGAATCTCTTTCCATCTAGTCTCTCAGCCTGGCCTTTTCGGGTGCGTGAATAAGGAAGATTTCCAGTAATGGAACTGCAATCATACAGAAAAGGATGTTCCAGAGCCACAGAATCTGGAACTCATAATCCAGAGTGTCATAGAGGAAAATTTAACTGGCCGGGCCAAGGTCATACATATGTACCCATAGCTGGCAAGAGGGTGAGGCAGCCCCCGGACACCCTTTTAACCCAGTACTGGAGACACTCCTGAGGTTCACCCTTCAGCCAAAGATTAAAAAAAAAAAAACAAAAACAAAAAAAACCCTTTGCCATCGAGTCCATTCCGACTCATGGCGACCCTGTAGGACAGAGTAGAACTGCCCCATAGAGTTTCCAAGAAGTGCCTGATGGATTTGAACTGCCGACTTTTTGGTTAGCAGCTGTAGCACTTAACCACTACGCACCAGCGTCTAGACAGGCCAATAAAACAAACAATAATACACATAGCTCAACCGTGTATACGAGACTAAATGGGCATACCAGCCCAAGGCAAGGACAAGAAAGCAGGAGGGGACAGAAAAGTTGGACAGATGGAAATGGAGAACCGCAGGGTTGGCAACCAATGTCACAAAACAATATGTGTATCAGTTGTTTAATGAGAAGCTAATTTGCTCTGTAAACCTTCATCTAAAGCACAATAAAAAATAAATAAAAAGCGGCGAAAAAGGGTGAGGCAAGAGATCTGGTTCCTTTCAGGCTTTTGAGGTCCTTCCTCCCTATAAGGCTCACCCCCTGGGAGACTCTCTGATTAGGGGGTTTGATGCTGAGACCACCAAAAAAGAGAGGGAAGCTGGAGAGATACTTTACTCTAATTAGACCTCCCAAACGGGGTGTTTTTCCAAAGGTAGTTGAACTAAAATCATTTGCTTTTTATTCCTTTCAGGTTTACGGGAACAGACGGACCTAGCGGTTTTGGCTTTGAGTTGACATTTCGTCTGAAGAGAGAAACAGGGGAGTCTGCCCCACCAACATGGCCAGCGGAGCTGATGCAGGGCTTGGCCAGATACGTGTTCCAGTCAGGTAAGAACCCCAGGAGCTGGCTGGTGTCGTGGTCTTTTTGTCATGAGCCTGGTTGGCTTTAGGAACTCTCAGGCATATTTTGATGTCTGTGAAGTGAACTTTCCTGGGAGTACTGTACCCGAGTTGTACCATGAGGATGGCTTGTCTTGCCTGGTGTTTCCTGGGTAGAAAGTTATCTGGGCCATGGAGGGGTCTGTCATGTGCCCAATTTATACCCTACTCACAGCTAAAAATGCTCGTTAGAAGCTAGGATGATGAGACTTCATCTCACATACTTTGGACATGTTATCAGGAGGCCTGAGTCCCTGGAGAAGGACATCATGCTTGGTAAAGTAGAGGGTCAGCGAAAAAGAAGAAGACCCTCAATGAGTTGGATTGACACAGTGCCTGCAACAATGGGCTCAAGCATAATGATTGTGAGGATGGCGCAGTGTTTCATTCTGTTGTACGTAGGGTCGCTATGAGTTGGAACTGACTCGATGGTACCTAACAGCAACACAGCTGAAAAACAAAAACAAACAAACAAAAAAAAAACCCCACTGTACCTAAAGAAGCTACCAGATCAAAGTGACCTGTAGCAGCAGGTAGGCATCCCTGCCTCTGTTCTGATGCCCTGTTCCCTTATTGCAGTCTGCCAGCCATATTTCTGATTCCCAGGGAGCTAAAGGACGACTCAGTATGGGGCTCACTAGCTCTTTCTCTGTCTGCCCATTTCCCATAATTAACATGGTCCTTGCTCTCTGCTGCCAGTGGCCTAGCCATATGTTTCTGGGGCCAAAAGCACACATGTTAATCTTGGCTAAGGCTTGATTTAAGTGTAGAGGGTAGGCAGGGAGGGAGAGAAAGGAATTTCTAGGAACTTGCTCCCATACAGTGTGAAGGGTAAGAGGGGGAAGCTAGAATCAGTGGGGCCTTGACAGTCAGAAGTATTGTTTGATTTAGATGCTTTGAGTGCCCTCCAGGGGATTATTCTTTGTTCCTAGTGCCCCTCTGGAGGCTACTAATATGGAACCTGAAGTGGGGGCTTTATGCTGGGAGCCTTGGCCCAGCCTGCCTGTGGGATGAGCCTCCAGTGGGATGGAATGTTGGAGCAAAATTTAGTACATTCTGTGGAGAGTTTCATATCATCTGAATATTTCTGGGTTGCTCAGAAACATTGCCCATATGACCTCAGTTTTTCTTTCTTTGGTTTGGTAAGCGGCTTTAAAATGAAGGCTGAGCCACTTTTTCCCAACTGTTTTGCTCTTGACTGCCATGGTTAAGGGCAGAGCAGTATCTGAGTCAGGGTCTTTCAGAGTGTGCTCCTTGGACCACTTGCATCAGAAGCACGTGGAGAGTTTGTTTCAAACACACATTCGGAGGCCCTGCTGGAGACCTATGACTCAGAATCTTTGGGAGTGATGTTCCCAGATACTTCTGGTAGAAACTAAATTTGGAGAACCATTGATCTGGTAGCTTCTTTAGGTACAGTGAGTTTCTTTGTTTGTTTTGTTTTGTTTTTAGCTGTGAGTAGATTATATATTGGGGACATGATAGACGCCTCTTGGTTGAACCTATCTGCCCTCATTCCAGCTCTCTAGGAGCCAGTTGTTGGTTATCATGTAATTAGACTGATCGATAACTACCATCTACCATTGTGTGTTCTCCTGGAGGCTGCAGTGGTCCTCTCCAAGCAGGGACTCCCAGACCTTTCCACGGGGCTCTAATTTCCTTGTCAAGCGATGGGGCTGGTGCATCTGCTTTTTAATTAGCTTCCCAAGGGACTCTGGTCTGGCATTGGTATTTGGGCTCTAAAGGACTGTTGACCAGGAAGTAGTTATATTTACAGGGGCAGAGGAAATAGGCTGTCTGAAGCAGCTGACCCATGTGATTTGTTACTGTCCCAACATGGCTGCAGAATCTTTTAAAATTGTGCTGGCGGTCTACTGCCTGAGCCCTTTGTGTCCCCCCTCTACTTCCTTGGGACGCCTGAAGCTGACTCTGTTATAGAACAATCTTTGGAAAGATAGACTTTTCTGACATGGAATTTGATCTATTATAGGAAAGGGGGTTCTACAGACTAGGCAACCTCTTGCTTGCATAGACGGGTAACTCCTTGTCCCACTACTTAAGCCAGTGCATCCATGTGTTAGTCTCCACTTAATGTATTGCTCAGGTGGATAGAGAGCAGAGAAGTGTAACACAGGTGTTATGAACCACTGTCAGGTGGGAGTCAAGCAGATGAACTACTGAAATTAGTTCGGGAATGGTTCTGAAAGTAGTTCTGAAATTATTATGCAAGTCATTGTGAAAATAGGATTTTATTTGCAAGAGTTCATTTCACCCAGACAGTAAACATCACTAGTGATCATTTTGTAACTACTAATGTAATGATTGATCCAGGTGAAGATTACTAACAAATGCTAAAATCATTGGACAAAAAGTTGTTGAGGAACAAGACATTCACAAGGACTCAAAGAATCACTCCACAGATTATTTATTTATTACAAAAAGAAAAGAAAAAAAACTTGATAGCAGTGAGGTTTTTTGTCTGTTTGTTTAAATTATTGTTGTTGTTAGTTGCCTTCAAGTTGATTCTGACTCAGGTCTGCCCCATGTGTGCAGAGTAGAACTGCTCCATAGGGTTTTCAAGACTGTGACCTTGTAGAAGCAGATTGCCAGGCCCTGTCTTCTGAGGTGTCTCTGGATGGATTCAAACCACCAACCTTTCAGCTAGTAGTCGAGTGCTTAACCGTTTGTGCCACCCAGGGACTCCTTGGGTGTGTTGATGGTATTATGGTTTTATAAGATAATGTCCTTGTTCTTAGGAGATGCAGGCTGAAGTGTTCATGGATAAAATGACACGATGTCTGCAACTTAATTTTCCATTGATTCAGGGGAAAAACACTGTGTCTGTGTCTGTGTGTGGAGAGAGAGAGAAAGAGAAAGCATGTGTGGCAAAATGTTAACAACTGGTAAATCTAGGTGAAGGATATATGAGCATTCATTATATTATTCTTTTAACTTTTCCATAAGATGGAAAAATTCCAAAATAAAAGTTGTGGCTGTTTCTTGAACGTATGCTGACTAGTGTGTGCTCTGCAGTTCCTTCGGCGCTGATGGTCCCTCTTTGCTGTGGTTTGTGTCTGCAGATCACTTCAGGCATTTCAGATCTGGGACAGGGTGACTACACTCCTAAAAGTATAGTACTTGATTTTCTGTTTTCCAGATTTTCCTGTAATATGATTGTACTACTTTAATAACAGAACAAATCTACCTAAAATTATTTTTGGATCATGGCATGGAATAGTAGTTAATTATTTAAATAATGGGAAAATGGTAAAGAGAAGGATATGGTGACTGATCAAAGGTAGGAGACCATGGCTTTGAGCCTAAATGGTGATGAGGATACGAGCTAGCACTTAGTGGGCATGGTCTTTGTGCCAGCCACTATTCTAAGTGCTCATTTAATCTGCAGAAAAGCCCTGTGAGCTAGGCACTGTGTTGTACCAACTTTACAGTTGCAGAAAGCAAGACAACAGAGAAGTCATCAAGGGGCAGCAGAGCATAGTTAATATTATGGCCCCTGGTCCCAGACTGCCTGTGTTCATATCTCAGCTCTGCCAGTCACTGCCTCTTGACCTTCAACATTTGCTCATTTATAAAAGCAGGATAATAATAGTAACCACACATGGAGTTATTGAGAGAGTGAAATGAATTAATACCTGTAAAGCACTTAGAAGAGTGCCTAATAACGTTGTTGTCGTGTGCCATCGAGTCAGTTCAGCTCATAGTGACCCTATAGGACAGAGTAAAACTGCCTCATAGGCAGTACTCTTTATGAGGACTAAGGTGCGCCTGACCCAAGCCATGGCATTTTCAATCGCTTCATATGCATGCAAAAGCTGAACAATGAATAAGGCAGATCGAAGAAGAGTTGATACCTTTGAATTATGGTGTTGGCAAAGAATATTGAATTTACCATGGACTGCCAGAAGAACAAACAGATCTGTCTTGGAAGAAGTACAGCCAGAATTCTCCTCAGAAGTGAGGATGGCAAGACTTTGTCTCTCATACTTTGGACATGTTATCAGGAGGGACCAGTCCCTGGAGAAGGACATCATGCTTGGTAAAGTAGACGGTCAGCGAAAAAGAGGAAGACCCGTAATGAGATGGACTGACACTGGCTGCAACAATGGTCTCAAACGTAGCAAGAATTGTGAGGATGGCGCAGGACTGGGCAGTGTTTCATTCTGTTGTACGTAGGGTCACTATGAATTGGAACCGACTCAATGGCACCTAAACAACAAACAACAGCAGTCTTTGTGGGAGCAGATCACCAGGTCTTTTCTCCCACGCGGCAGCCGGTAGGTTTGAACCACTGACCTTTCGGTTAGCAGTCGAGTGCTTAACCATTGCACCACCAGAGCTCCTTGTCTGATACATAGTAAGTGGTATATAAGTATTACCTGCTATTGTTATTATTCAATCTAAAATATTTATATGGATCAAGAAGGTGGGTACCATGGTGACTTTTTGCAGTGGCAGTAAAGATCCCATTTAACAGCAAAACCCTTTTGGGAAGTACCTTGCTTGACCCTAAATCAGATGCCTGGCTCAGCTGATCTAATGATATTTGGTGCCATTCTCTTGCTCCCACACAGAAAATCAACAATAGTGGTACAAATAAAATTACCTTGTTTTGTACATAACATTATACAGCAAAAAAAAAAAAAAATTCAGTTCAATGGTAACGCCTTGATTTGTGCAATTAACAGCACCTGTAAAGTCTTAGGCAAGTCAGTCTCTCTTCTGAATGCCGTACAGCAGTACACACTGTAGCAGGACCTTGTAGTAAATCCTTTTATAAAGTGAAGACTCTTTTTATAGTGTAAATAATTTTCCCTTATTGTAACAGTTTTGTAAGATTGAGTTTAGGCCTATCAAGTTTTTTCAGAGCAGGGCACACTCAATTGCTACCATAGAGAGCTACTGTTGAGACTTGGGGGCATTACCCTATC